GCGTACAGTGAGATTAGCAGATACTTGCTTTCAAAGAATCACAGGGCAGTGATAGCATCATGAATTTGAAACAAATGCATCTTTGAATATCTAATTAACTTTAAAAAAAAACCTCCAAGCCGATGAAACTGGATATTTTATTTGAATACCATATGTTGCATGATGCATGTCTGCCCTCATTTGAAGACAGCCAGGCAGTTAACACTCACTGTCTTGGAGATGCAGCTATTGGGCAGGGAATGCGTGCAAAGGTTTCACGGATTACTTCCTTTATCAGATGTGAACATTTCACACACAACCTTCCCTTGCTGCTGGTCGTCACCCTACACTACTTGATACACATGTTCCTGGAATTCAATTACCCCTCAGCTGACTCATATTCATGGGGGTCTTGGAGACAGAGGAACTGGTTTCAGATCCGCTTGATGGCTCAAGAATTTTGGGCAAATTATGAACTGCAGGCTTGGGTCCTCGTCAGTAGAATGGCCACAATAACGGTCCTTCCTCAGAATTATTTGGTGGAGAAGGGAAATGTTTACAGAAGATTTGGCACAATGCCTGGAATGAGGAATCCCTGAGGAGTCCCTGAAGTCTCAGGGGCACCTTGCACGACTCCAGTACACCATGAACAGAATACGTTCTCTGGCTTCCCACTCCTCAGTAATTTGTCTCCCTCCTACCTCATGCGTATCTCCAAAATTCCTCCACCCTTTCTTCTTTGCAAAATCTCTCTCTCTCTCTCTCTCTCTCTCACACACACACACACACACACACACACACACACACACACACACCTGAAGCCTAGTGACTGTGTGGCGTAGTTATTGATCAATGACAATATTGTCCTTATTAGGAAAAGATAGAGACTCAAGTCCTTTAGCTAAGAGAAGGGTACTCCAGGGGGACTCCCAGGCTGTGGTGAGCTGGTGGAAGGTGCTAGACCTCAACTCAGAGCCTCTGACAACAGCATGACAGTTGCCTCTCTCACAGCCCACAATGCAAGCTGACCCAGGTGCAGGGATGAAGAGAAGTGAGCCTTGGGCTACATGTCCATCGACTGTTTTAAAGGCTACATCCAAGGCGAGCTTTATACCTGTCATCACAGAACACAGGCAGAAAGGACAGACCCCATGCACAGGAAAGGTACGTGTTAAGCTACATATAGCATGTTAAGCTGTTGCACAGGGCTGAGCAGACAACGGCGAGACTTCAGATTTAGTTGTGGGTGCTGCATTTCGAGAGGACTGCTGGGAAGGTGTTGTCATCCTGAGTAGAACAATATGGGTGCCCAGGAGGCACTGGGCAGCATGGAGGAAAAAGGAAACCCTTGGGGGGGGGGGCACAGGACAGCCCTTTCCACATATCAAACAGTTCCCCTTTCCAGGAGGGATGTGTCCTGTTTCTCTAAGGTTCCAGGAGAGGAGCAGGTGAAATTCAAGGGACACCAGGTTTGACAGAATAACAAATTTCATCTCATCAGAATTTGTACTCTGTTAATAAAGGGATGAATAGGACGGCTGCCTCTGTGGGACCAAAAAAAAAAATCATTCTTGAAAAAAAAAATCTGATTGGCTTTAGACTGCCTAAATTTGTTTTAACCTTAAAATTTTGTGCCTGTAAATAATTAAAACATTTTCATTACAAACAAATTAATATCACACTCGGGAGACTAAAACAATGCCCCAGTTAGCTTCACCTGCCCTGGCCTGACCTGGAAGTATATGTCCTCAGCTGTGGCCAAGAAGAGCACCAGCTGTGCACACTCGCGATGTTCTCTTTTAAGGGCCCTGCCCACCGCCCATCCCTCTCTCTTTCTCTCTCTGTCTCCCTCTGTCCATCCATCCGTCTGCCCGCCCGTGTGAGTGTGTGTGCTTGTCTCCCTCCCTACCTCTCCTCTCTTCTGTTCCCCAGAGGCCGGGGTCTCCCCTCTCCCCTCCCCACTCTTCCCATTCACTTTCTCCCTCTAATGCCCCCCCCCCCACCTGAGCTCTGTCACATGGAGTCTTTCCACGGGTTACGGGTCTACATGTTGAACATCCCCTGACCTGGAAATCTAATAATAAGATGGTTCCAAAATCCAAACCATGTAGGGGGCTGGCATGATGTCGAGTGAGTTTTAGATTCTAGAGCATTTCAAGTTTGGGACATTTGGATTAACGCGTGCACAGCCTGTTAACATTTTTAAGATGGGCAGTCTCATGAGGTTATATACTTCCTGTCACTAAGAGTGATGAGCTACAGGCTATCTGGAAAACAAACAAACAAACACACAAAACACCTAAAATATAGAGAACTCCTAACTCTGAAAGAGTTGTGGTTGCAGACGATTGGAGTAAGTCACTTTCAGTCTGTGATAGGATTTCATAAAAGCTGGACCCTGCTGGCAGTGCTACACATAGGAAACCAAGCTCGCTTTGGCGTCTGGCCACATCCTCTGCCCACCCCCTCTCCTGCTGTTCTTTAGTTCGATCACTATTCAGCAGCCACACTGGCCCTCTTTACTTCGTCATAATTGCTAAGTTTGCTCCTGGATCAAGGAAGTGGGCATTGCTCATTCTTTGGTTTTCAGTCCCCTTTGCTGGCTTTCCCGTGGCTGGGTCATGCTAAGTTTCTGTGATGCTTATTCTCAATCGTCAAGGTGATGCGATTTAGAATAATCTGGAAAGATCTCTGGGCATGTCTGTGAGGGAGTTTCCACGATAGGTTAATTGAGGTGGGGCGACTCATTGTAAATGCGGGTGCACCATTCCACGGGCGGAGGTCCTGGGATGAATGGGAATGGGAACGAACGCTGTACGCCCACAGACAGCCCTCTCTTCTTCCTGACGACAGACGCCACGTGATCAGCTGCCTCACGCTCAGGAGGCAATGGCTTCCCTGTCGTCCGGACTGTATACTTAGACAGAGAACTGAAGTTCCCCACACCCCCAAAGTTGCTTTTGTCAAGGCGGTAAGAAAAGTAACTGACACACTCCCTGATGTCCTGAACATTCCCTCCTCAAGGCCCGTAAGTTGTTCATACCATAGTGGTTCTCTTCCTAACGCTGTGACCCTTTAAAAAAATTCCTCATGTTTAAGGTGGGTGACTCCAACCTTAAAATTATTTTGTTGCTACTTCCTAACTGTCATTTAGCTAGAGTTAGGAGTCGTAATGCAAACATTTGTGGAGATAGAGATTTGCCAAGGGGTCACGACCCACATGTTGAGAGGCTATCATGTGGGCTCAGGCTGCCATATTGTCTGCAAGGCTCTGCCTACTTAGATGCTTGCACGTCCTCTGACCGTCACCTATCCAGATACGAGCTCACTGAGCACAGGAGGATCTTGTGTCCTGGTGTTTTGTTTTGTTTTATTCTCTATGCTTGGATCAGAGAATTCTCACCATACAGTTGTTGACTGAACAAATGCAAGAATGAATGGGGATCTTTGTTAAAGGACTTCGTAAAACAGCGAGAGATGGGAACACTCAACAGTCTTCCCAAGTCTTTGGACTCTAACTTGAACTCCAGTCTTTGGACTCCGAGGCTTGTCTCTTGAATTTGCAGTGTGTAGTTTGTGCCACGGAGCGCAATCCTTTTCAAGTGACTTTTTGAGGAAAAAAAAAAAATGTTGCTTTAAGGAGATAAATCCTTCAAAGGCTTAGAGCCAAAAGTCTCCTGTCCATCTCAGCAAACACGTGTGTCATTTTAAAAACAACATCTTTATGCATTCTTTGAAAATGTTATGTATTTATACAATTTATTTCCATCGTGTCCCTATACCGCTGCCTCCTTCCAAACTCCCCAGATGCGGTTTACACCATTTCCCTCCCAACTTTATGTCCTGTTCCCTCCCCCCGCCTTTTTTTTTTTTAACAGTTTAGAGCAAATGAAAACTTTCATTTAAATTTAAGGCTAACTTCTGGCATGTTTCTGGTTCATATTTATATATTACCAACACACATCCACATGTTCATATTTGATGTATAGAGAGAGAGAGAGAGAGAGAGAGAGAGAGAGAGAGAGAGAGAGAGAGAGGGAGATAAACAAGCCTGAAAACACATTATTTTTGCTGTTTCTTCTATGGAAAATGTGAAAGCAAAACAAACAGTCCAGGGAGGAAAGCTAATTAGTTCTCCAAGTCCTTTCAGTCAGAAATTCAGAATTCTAGTAGCTGTACAGGAAAGATACCTCTATTTATTTTTAAACATCATGTGCATAATTTAAGGATTATCTTAAGTCTCGTGCCCAGCGTGTTTCTCCAGCCTAGTGTTACTACGAGGAGAGGTTCAGTTTGGCTAGGTTAATGGTAATTATCTAGAGCAAAGGAACGAGCACCATTTCATAGTTTAATATCAATCATTCCCATCAATATCCTTTCTGTTTTCCTCTTTGCCCATCTCAGAGAGAGAAGCAGAGGGATTTAATTTGATTTACAGGGGGGGGGGGACAACCCTCAATGTCCTTTTTTTTTTTCAGGCGGGGGATGGGGCAAGGAGACAAGGCCAGCCAGCTGGTTTTCATCTAGCCGCCATAATTCTCTGTTTGGTTTACACTATTAAACTCCAGCGCCTTGCTTTCATCTTAACTGTTATAGTATGCCTTATTGCAGATTCTAGCATGTCGCATCCTGATAGGGTTTCAGACTTTGGCAAAGCCTCATCCCTCACGTTGGTCCTTGCCATATGGGCAGTAAATGCATCCAGCATTTTTTCACTGGCGCCGGCATCATTATGTTTTTTGCCACCACTGCTTTCTTGGGTTTTCTGCAGATCTCTGTGGAGCCTATGGTTTGAAGGTTATCAGGAGGACCTATGTCGATGTATACACAACCGGGTCCTAGTTACGACCTCGTAGTCCTGTAGATGACCCCAACAGATACATCTGTTTATTGAAGGTGGCAGGGAGGTGGCGGGAGCAGAGAAACCACAAGGGAAGAGAGCAGAATGCAAAAGCAACCAAGGCCAGGCAAACTGGAGCGCTACCACTGGTGGGTGAGGAGGGGCGAGGAGTCCGACTTACCTGATCTGTCCTCGTTTTGGGAATCACATCTTCTGCACAGTTCTGGGATGGTCTTGAGAGATGTGACTGAGTACTGAATGGGAAGACAGAGGGAGAAGGGTGTGAGATAGAAATTTAAAATAAAGGCATTCCCTTAAACCACCCAGAAAGAAAAAAGATGAACACAAGGACCGAGGCTCAAGTACAATAGACACATTCAAGAGGTGGCCCTCGTGGTGATCTGAGAGCATCCTAAGATCGACCGGCAAGCACCTCAGTAGACACAGGTTAAAGAGGAGCCTGGTGGCTCTTATTTAATGGACAAAGTAAGACACATCTGAAAGCTTTTCTGTGTCTCATCATTTCAAACTGAAATATAGCCAGAATTACTGAACCTTGAATACTTCCAGAAGATACTATTTGTTTCCTCAACCCAAAGAGCTAGCTAGCTACCAGTGTAAAAAGCCTAGGGGAGGAGGATTCGGCTTCCTCAGCATCCAGACTGAAGGAGACATGTCTATGCTGGTGTGGACCACACTACATAAAATCCCAAAGCTGGGCCTGGAGCGATGGCTCAGTGGTTTAGAACACTTACTCCTCTTGCAGAGAAAATTGATGCGCTTCCTGGCACCCTCATGATGGGCCACAACTATCTGTAGCTTCCATTCCAGGGGATCCAATTCCCTCTTTTGGCCTCTGCAGCTACCAGGCACTCGCATGCAGTGCACATACATACCTAACACTCTTACGCATACAATAAACACTTCTTTTTGTTTTAGGCTCCAACAGTTACCATGTGCTGCGGATTTTACTGTGTGTATTGTCTCCATGGCAAATACGGAGGTCTGGTCACTAAAAGCAAGGGGAACATAGGTCTCTTTGAAAGCTCTTCTCGTCCATAGATTAGTTTGGAAGGAAAGACAGCACCTTTTAGTCTCTGACACAGCATCAAGTTCAGGGCTGGCTATCAAGATAACAAATTATGACACTGGAGGCACAAAAACACATGTAAAATCAATAACTATGATTTATGGGGTCTACATTTGATAGCCATCAATTTATCTTGAGAGAAGGATGTGTTCAAACAAAATAAACAGAATGAATAGAAGAGAATGAGGCCTTCAATCAAAGACTATCTTCGGTCATACTCATACTGCAGTCCATAAAACACAATTTTCTCAGAATGTTTTGCTCTATGTCTCTGAGAACAGGCACATATCATGAATTACTTCTCCCTTGCAAAATCTGAGGCAGCTTAGAAAAAAAATAATTTAATCTAAAAGAAAAATGACCAGAGGAAACCCATTAGTATTATTCTAGCCTCACAAGCGAGGACTGTATAATTAGAATGCGTTTCTCAAGGCAAAGGTACGTTAGTGGGTGTGATGTTGATAGATAGGACCTCCAGAGTTCCCACAGAATATCAGCAAAGCAAGGCAGAAGGAGCAGGCGCTTGCCGCTGCTGTCAGCTTGCACATCACAAACAAATTAAACTCCCAGTATTTCCAAATGAAAAATGAAATCTCAGAAGACTAATTAGAGAAATTATTCTTACCTGTCTGATGCAATAGCATCCTGTTTATATTGGCCATTCATCAGAGACTACAGGTGTCTCAGCACACACACAACACACAGGTGGAGGGAGGGGAAGGCTGCGTGAACAGGAGTTGAGCCTCTAGACAATTTTTCCTTCTACCGTATGCTTTGTGTGTGTGTCTTGCGGGGGATGGGGTGGTCAGGGATAATTTAGACAGAGAAGCTTCGTCTTGGTAGTAACAAGGTACCTCATGTTCCTGATCAAGTACAAGCTCTCTAAGGAATCTGGTAGCTTTCTGAGACCAGCTGGTGCAGGTTATATAATTACACAGTCTATAATTCAATTAAAATTAGGGCCTTTGTTTTGGTTGCTGTGCCCCATGAAACCCCCTTTGGCAATGGCTCACCATCTCTCCTGCTCCCCACTGCCATCTCTCACTCTCTCTCTTTCTTCCCTACCTCCCCTCTCCTTCCTCCCTCCCTTTTTGGGTTTCCCCTCAAGACAACATTTTAGAAAAGAGGAAAATTGATTGACTAGGTATAAATATGGGCAATGATACAGCAAGGATTTCTCAGTGGGCTTAAACGATATACACCCGATGAAAACAGCCCAACTGCTGTCTGCATCCCAGGCACGCACACTGGCACCTGAAAGCCAGATTCCCTATTCTCCAGATCTCAGCTGGTTTAGCTGCAGGTCCAGCTCTACCTGTTTGACTGCAAAGGCTTGCAGGAGGCAGTGAGGTTAAGTTTGCTGAGGTTCAAACTCTGAACAGCACAAGGTTCTTGGCTGGTGTGTCGACAACGTATCATAGAAAAATCTGGATTTGGGGACACACACCTGTAATCCTAGCACTCGAGTGGGTGGAGCCAAGCAATCTCTGAGTTCAAGGCCAGCCTCCAAGCCAGTCAGCCTGCCTCAAAACAAAACAACAGAACACCAAACAAACCAAGCAACTGACCAACAATCAAAACCAACACCCCACCCCCTCAAAAAAAAAAAAAAAAACCAAAACAGAGCTGGGGAGAGGGTGACATACCGGCTGTAGCTTTGCCCATAGTGAAAAAGGATGCTTTCTTTTGTGAAGACATATATTTGAATTCTTCACGTCACAACCAGTAAGAAATAATGACCCTAAAGAAAACAGTGATGTGATACTCCTGGGACTAGAAATTAAAAAATACAGCAAACTAAGAAAAAAAAAAGTGCCAGCTAGAAAATTACAGTTTGGGGGACTTTTTAGGATGCATGGAAGGTCACACAGTCTATGGATTTAACAAATCTACCGTTCTTTATAAAGGCACAATAAAAGAGTAATTTGAAGGCTTATTTCTGTAAATAGCAACCCTACATGGGAAGATCTAATACAACAGAGTGATCTAAAGATGGTTACATTGTGGTGGGAAGAAATGCACAGGAAGCATGTTTCACAAAAGCAACACGGAAATGTATTTTCATAATTGCAAATCTGAGGATGAGCCCATGACCCAGTGACCCGGGATGTCTCTCATACAAGAGTACATTGTGCTACCATCTGGAATGGGAGGCTTCCCAATTCACAGGACAGATGGTCTTTTATAAGGAGCTGTCAGATGGCTAACCTACTTCACTCATAGGACAATCACTAGTAACTCCTGTCATATGGACTGACCAAACCAAGACTAATACATCCTTCTTCTACTTATCCTCCACCCTAAATTGTGTAGCCTGTTCTCTTGATTCTGTTATCCATTGGTGATATGAGAGAGGGCTTTCAGTTACTTGAGAGGCATTGTTTTTCCTTTTTACTCTTTTGTCCTAACATCTTCCTTTTCTTGAATCCTTCCAGAGGTTACTGGCTGCAGAAATAGCCTCTTTGATCAAACTTTTACTACGGCTTTATGTTTCAAGAGCTCCTGGTGAGGTTGACCAGTTCCCTTAGCTGTTTCAATGCCTCTATAGAGTTGAAATCTATTTGCCTGTTTCTTTTAATTTTCAGGACCTCCTTGTCTGCAGTGATTTCCTCCAACCACGAAGTGCCACTGTTCCTTAAGGTCAGCATGCTCTCTGCCTTCTGCACAAAGCCCCAGGGCGGTTCTTAGCAATGTTTCCCTTTTATGCCCTCAGTAAATGTCTGCAGTGTCTTAGGCTTGGCTTTTTCCTCATGATCTATCAGCTCTGATATGGAGAGGAGGGAAAGGATATTATCTTTGAATTGTACATACGTAGGGGTCAATTAGCTGCCTCGAACACCAACATGTACATACACTGCACTCGAGCCTGGGCATAATACTGTAGATTTTCAGAAGTTTAAAAGCTTTCAAGTTTAGGTAGTTAGTAGGAATTCCTTCTGAGCATTAATACTGGTATAATTCATCAGTTCAAATTTATAGTTATAATTCTTGGTTCAGATTTGACTAAAGCATGTCTCTGTTTCAAATCCCTCAGTGCCTCTGCAGGATGCACAGGCCAGACCATGTGCCTCAGTGTGGCATAAGGTCAGTCTCTTCTCTGACTTTCCTTCACTTCTCTTTGTGGTAACAAGAAATTTCTTATAGTTCGCATATCTACTGTTTTTCCTATGTCTTTATGAATTCTACTTTATCCACCCAGAATGCCATTCCTCCCATTTCAATAGGAAAATTCCCTTTAATTTTTCCAGCCTTGCCTCGGTATCATCTCTATAATGCCCTCTATGAGGGAAGGAATGTCAGCATTCAAAGTGCGCCCTCTAGATCCTGGGACTTGGAATTCTTGGGAGCCATTTTAGAACACTGAATCAGAACCAGTTATGTTGGGTGCAGTCATTGGCTTGTGATGAGACATCCAGGAAATTCTGAAACATTCCAGAATTCATAAAGCCTCCTCTCAGTCATACACATGGCATCCTGTCTCTCCACGAATGCAAATGATTTCATTGCTTCTTCAGGTGGTAGAAAATATTTTAGCTATCTAAGATACTAGGCTCTTATTGAACTGGACTAAAAGAACGCCTTTAAGTAGCCCACGGCTTTAGTAGCCATGATAACAACAGTTTATATCTATACAAAAGCAATCCTAGAAGAAGCCATCATTATAAATCTAGCAGTGCAATCACAGTACATTCAAAAGACTAAAATCTCACTCCATTAACATGACTGCTGGCAGTTGTCCCCTTCTATAAAGGACAAAGATTTGAAGCCAGGTCTGGCTCTGACGCTTACTATCTCTGTGGTTCTGGACAAATCAATTGTTTCATACCTCTGGGACTTGGTTTCCTTATCTGTAGCCACAGGTATCAATATGAGATAATGAAGATGGAGTTATTTTGCAAACTGATAAATGCCTGGAAACATGTTCAGCTCTCCTCTCTAACCTGTTTTCTGTGAGTGCTCCACAGACTTTCCTTACTCATTTTTGTTCCTGCCAGGACAAAGGCAGGAGATCAAGAGAGGAGTAGGAATGAGTACGGACTGGAAATGAAAAGGAAGATGTTGCCATCTAACCTCTGCACCTATGTGAGTCCTCCTAACTACTTCCTTACTCAAGCGAGTTTGTAGATAAGGGTGGACACAGAAAGCTTGCTTCCCAAACTAACT